CTACTACTACTACTACTACTACTACTACTACTACTACTACTACTACTACTACTACTACTACTGGAACGACGACTACTATTACTACTACGACCTTTTCCTACTACTACTGCTGCTACTGCTACTGCTGCTGCTGCTGCTACTGCTACTGCCACTGCTTCTGCTGCTACTACAGCTGATACTGGTACTGCTTCTTCTCCGATTACTGCTGCTTGTCATACCTGTATTTCTACTGCTACTATGCGTTACCGCAGCCTGTCGTCGTCGTCGCCGCCAGTCGTCTGTGTCGTCGCCGCTGGTCTTCGTCGTCGTCGTCGTCGCGGCCTGTCGTCGTCGTCGGTGCCGTCCTGGCTGGTCGTCGTCGTTGTCGTCATCGTCGTCGTTGCCGTCGTTGTAGCCGCTGGTGGTCGTCGTCGCCCTCGTCGTCGTGGCCCTTATCTGAGCTACTACTACTGCTAATATTGCTACTGCCTTGCTGTTGCTAGTGCCACGCCCACGCCCGCCACTTTACCGTTACCTTCCCACGATGGCCAGACCTTTCCCCAAATACCAGACGTTAGTCTAGGCCTCCCAGGTGGGGTCGGTGTAGATGTGGTCGGAGGATCGCGCCGCATCGCCGATGCATCGGCGATGCCGCTCGATGCGGAGCCCGATTTTCGCCACGGTAATGGCGCCAATGCATCGCCGACATCGCCGATGCATCGCCGATGCATCGGCGATACATCGGCATTGCATTGGCGATGCGTATCTTTCGACCGCATCTATTTCGGGGGAGCGTAAGACCCGGGTTTGCCGGGACTCGGGTTCGCCATCGTTTTTTGACGACCGCGACTCGGATTTTGACGAGGAGGAGTTTCGTGGGATGTCTGCAGCGGGAGGCCTCGTCAAAATGCAGGCTCGGCCTCGTCATTTTTTTGACGACCTCGTCGGGGATTTCCGAGTCCCCCGTGCCCGGGTCTTACGTCTCCCCGACTATTCGGACCCCATCTAGGAGGCCTGTGGCTACGGGGTGGGGGTAACAAACGCCCCCTGTCTCACATCGCACGCACGCGCGGCACGGACCGAGGCGACACGGAAGCAGAGCGCGCCGGCCGCACAGGAATGGGGCCGACATCCTCCAAGGATTTGAGGCTTCCCAAGGATTTGGGGCCGACATCCAAGGATTTGAGGCATCCTCCGACATCCTCCAAGGATTTGGGGCCGACATCCTCCAAGGATGCTGACCGCTCCCTGTGGGATGGTTCACGCCGTGGCAGAGACAAGGATTCGCGTCGTGGCAAGGCAGGCCTTTCTCGGTCTGGTGGTCGCTCTCTTGTTCATTGTTGTGCCGATCGGCGCGGGCCCTCGCACCCCCCTCCCCCCCTGCCATGGAGTAGATCTTGGCTGTTTTCGGCGCTTGTTTCGAGCAGGTGGAGTCTCCCCCATAGGACGCACTGTTGCAAACAGTCGCACTAAGCAGAGGTCCGGAGTCAGACACCCCCCATCCCCCTCCTTCCGCCCAATGTCGAGACGCCGAATAAGAAAACGCGCACCTTCCTCCTCGTGCTGCAGTTGTCCCCTCCTCCTCGTCTCGTCGTGGGAGGTTCGATCTGTACAGGATCGCGCTGAATTCAACCATCAGCATTTTGATGCCGAGGTCCGCGGCAGGCGGAGCTTCCCCCTGTCCGTGCGAGGTCTATTCTGTGCCTCTAGCGCACGGCTGGCTTCTTTGAAACAGACCCAGCGCGGAATTTCAAAGCCCCGTTCAATATACGCATATTGTTCGTGTAGCTTCCGGTCCAACACTACGTTGTTCCTCGGGCGCGACTTGAGAATGTTGCTCTCGATTTGGGCGGCGTGCTGGCAATCAGCAGGATCAGCGGGCTCCTTTTGTATTCAACACGCGGTGTTTACCGAGCTGCGTGCGCGTGTCGAGCCAGCTGATTTTCATTCCTGTGTATTGCGCAGGCATTGCTCTATGAGCGTGTAACTTACATATGTAACAGGGTCTGCATCTGGCTGAATTTCACTCCTTGACCGCATGCATTTCATGATTATGCTCTTTTGGTCTATCATCTGATAGATAAAATGTGGTTGCATGCTGAAGTGGAGGGGATCCCATCTTGCGTCTCCACGCGCATCGTTCTCATCAAGATTCCGTTGCTCGTCATTGCGTTTGCTCTTCATGTTTATTGTATACGCTTCGCGTAACCCCATCAGCCCAGCCAGAAACGATGCCCAGGCGAGTTGCCCTGATGTGCAGGAGTACGCAGTGGAATAGAGGGCTGGGTAAGACGTCGTGCCCGAAGAGGGGGAGGATGGAGGAGGAATCGGAGCAGGAGCGAGATGAGGAGGAGGAGGAGGAGGAGGAGGAGGAGGAGGAAGGAGGAGGAGCCAGAGGGGGAGGGGGAGGAGAGACGATGAAGGAGGAGAAACAGGCGGATGAGGAAGAGGAGGAGAGACGGGAGGAGGAGGAGGAGGAGGAGGAGGAGGAGGAGGAGGAGGAAGAGGAGGGCAAGCAGAAAGGCCAGAGGCCTCTTGGATGCCTCTCGGAGTCTCTTCGGATTTCTTTCGAGAGTTGCATGGGCTTCTCTGGGGGCGTACTGGGGTCTCTTGGCAGTCCCGGAGGTCTCTTGGGGCGTCTTGGGTGCCCCCTCCTGGGCACCTCTTGGGACCCTCCTGTGGCACCGTGGGAGGCCTCCGGGGTCATTTTGGGAGAGATCGATCAAAGGAGGGCGGCTCCTTACTTAGATTACCGATGATTTGGCTCGTCCTCCTCCTGCTCCTCCTCCTCCTCCTCTTCCGGCCCAGGAGGTCAACATGTGGCCACCACCGATTAGTTTGGCTTTCTCGCCGAGGCCTCTTGGGGCGTCTTGGGTGCCTGACTGGGTGGGGGGGGGCTCTTGGGGCCTCCTCGGGAATTGTGGCGCGCCTCTTGGGGGAGCCTCTTGGGGGCCTCTTGGGGCCTCCTGGGCATTTCTTGGGGCACTCTTGCGGGCACCCTTGGGGGCCTCGGGGGCCATCTTGGGGCCATTTTGGAGGAGGTCGATCCAAGGAAGGGAGCTCCTGAATCAGAGCCCCCCCCAAGGAGGCCAACATGTGGCCAGAACCTTAGTCACATCAATGATGTTGGCCTTCCCGCCGAGGCCATCTTGGACGTTCCAACGTCTTGCGACCCCCGCCCCTCCAGGCCCAGGGGGAGGGGGGAGTGGGAGGGGTCTAGATACCCCTGAGATAGTACGCCGTCTAGCTCACTCCCATCCGCCCTCCCAAGACATAGGTAACACCCGAGCCTCAGCATGTTCAGCGGTCGTCTTTGGACGGACAGCTACTGGGAACCATCACCGACCCCATGTGCGCGACGTTGGGGCGAGGTGCGCCACGCGTGCTAAGCACGCCACGCGCGCCAGGCACCCCTGTGGCCCGAGCGTGCCAGGCACCCCTGGTGCGTCGGATGCGCCACGTGCTCCGCGTGCGCCAGGTGTGCCGCATGCTCCAGCCGCGCCTGGTGCGCCACGTTCGGGACACGTGAAGAGTGTTGCAGGTGCGCCTGCGCGCGTGACAGCACACATCGGGAGCACATGTCGGCCCCTACCATCTTTGTCGAAAAGCAATGCCCATCAAATTGTGTCTGATGGGCCTTCGCACAGCAGGCCATACGTCGTCCCTGTCGAGAACCACTTGACAGTGATCGCGGGGTGGCCGCGCATGTCCAGATTTAGCCGCAAGGTGCATGTTGTAGTGTAGTTAGAGACAGTAGCGCTGCGCGCAGCAGGCGATATGCTTACACCCCCGCCGTCCCTGTCAAAAACAATACAATTTGCTCGTGGTCCTCACAAACATGACTCAAGACTTTGCCCCAGTGTACTTTGTATATTGTTTTTGACAAGGATGGTGGGGGGGGCCGCATCGGGTTGGCCGCGCATGCTCCAAATGTGGAGGCAGAGTGCGTTTTGTATTGCATGTTTGGCAGGGATGGTGGGGGGGGCGCATGGTTCCTGGTAGGCTGCTGGTCGCCTCGGGGAGGGGTTGTATATTAATAGGGAACAGTGGTAATCACCTCCCCGAAGGGGACGAAGGGGATTCGAAAGAGGAAACTCGTCAAACCACTCACGCCCTGAAGTGCTGGTGGAACCAGCTTCATCATCCGCATCATCAGCTTCATCACCATAATCATCATCATCATCATCATCATCATCATCATCATCATCATCATCATCGTCATCAGCATCACCATCGCTGTCATCAGCACCATCGTCATCGGCATCATCGTCATCATCATCACCGACCTTGACCCCGATGCCCTGGGGCCGTCGGATCTGTGTTTGGGTGCCCTGGACCACCCCCTTGCCGACCGCTGTCACCCCTCCCACCGACAATCGGTCCTGAGGGGTGTCCTGTTTTGCATTGTTTGTGGAGGACACTGTTCTGTCGCACCTCCCTGCATCCTGAAAGGAATGTGCGGTGAAGCTTCGAAAGCGGGGTGAAAGGTGCTGTCACGCCTGCAGAGGGGACTGCCACCAAAGTCTGGCGCGTCGTTCCCCGACAGAGGCTGATTGTTGGATGTGCGGCCTGCCTAGAGCAGGACCCCCGCCTTAGATAGAATTAGGATTAGAATTAGTCATCATCATGATCAGCATCAGTTTCATCATCGTCATCGTCATCATCATCCTCGTCGCCATCGTCAACATCATCACCACCGTCATCATCGCCATCATCACCAACAGCGCCATCATCGTCAGCATCATCAGCATCACCGTCATCATCAGCATCGTCATCGTCATCGTCATCGTCATCAGTGTCAGCATCCGCTTCAGCATCTCCGTCTTCGTTTTCTACTCCCCCCTCCTCTTCCTCCCGTCGCCTCTCCTCCCCCGTCGCCGCCCTCACCCATCGCCGCATTCCCCCCTCCCGATGCCCGACCGCCGCGGCAGAATAGCCGCGCGCGCCTCGATCCAAAACGGCGAATCTCCCGCCGTCGAGGGATCAGCGGCCGGGCGGCGGGCGGAGGCTGGCGGGGGCAGCGCGGCGGCGGCTTCGCAGGCGGCGGCCGGCGGAAGTCTGAGACGGCCCCCGCCCGAGAGAGGCGCGGCACCTTTCAGGGTCCGGGCCCCCCGGTCGAGCCACAGAGGTTGTCCGTAGTCGCGATGGTTCGAAAGCACCGACCAAGCGAAGTTACCCACGGGCTAAGGTTGAATCAGGCATGTCGCTCTACATGATGAGTAGTGAGCAAGAGTTGACACATGGTAGTGTGGCGATTTTTCATGTTATGTTCAAGATACGCCCAATAGTCTGGAACTAGCTTTCTGGATACTGGCGAAGCGAGCGTACGATGCACGCGGAAGGAACACACGATGCGTTCCGTGGCGCCACCATTGTTTGTTTCGCCGCACTTGGTGGCGGCAGCGCGCGCTATCGCGTTTTAGCAGAGGCGTGCGTCGTTGGCGATGTGGTTCGTGCAACTTGCACATCGTGGACCATCATAGGCTGCGCGCTACCATCGTGGACTGGACGGCGCGCCGCTGCGATTAGATTCGCGCGCAGCGTGAGCAATTCGACGAGTACCCTTTGGGGCAGCCGACAGAAGCCATGCAGATTTGGAACCTTGTTTCTTTCCATTTTGTTTCGCACATCCTCAAAATCCGCCCGATCATTTTGTGTGGCCGCTGGCATTCAAGATCTCATTGCCGAATTGTTGACGCTTCGCGTATCCCCACCAGCCCATCCAGAAACGATGATCAGGGGAGTTGAGGTGATCAGGGAAGTCGGGGAGCATGCAAAATAACAAAGAGCGGGGGAAGCTGTCACAGACCCCGAGAGGGGGAGGATGGAAGAGGAATCGTCGTCGTCGTCGGAGGAGGAGGAAGAGGAGGAGGAGGAGGAGGAGGAGGAGGAGGAGGAGGAGGAGGAGGAGGAGGAGGAGGAGGAGGAGGATAGTGAGGAGGATATGGGGTAGGGCGAGGACGAGGAGGACGAGAAGGAGGAGAAGGAGCAGAGGGAGGAGAAGGAGGAGAAGGAGGAGAAGGAGGAGGAGGGGGAGGAGGAGGAGGGAGGAAGAGGAAGAGGTGGTTGAGGAAGAGGAAGAGGAAGAGGACGGCAAACCGAAGAGCCAGAAGCGTCTTGAATGCCTTTTTAGGAAATCCTCTTGAGGCTTCTTGGGGGGTCTCGTCTTGGGCGCCTCTTGGGGACGCCTTGGCGCCTCTTGGGGCGCTTTTGGGGCGCTCTTGGGAGCCTTCGGGGCGTTCTTGGGGCCATCTTGGAGGGAGTCGATCAAACAAGGGGGGAGCTTCAATTAGCCTCCCCCCCCGGGAGTCCCATAAATCGCCTCTTGGGGCCCTCTTGGGGCGCTCTTGGAGCGCTCTTGGGCGCTCATTGGGCCGTATTGGGGCTCTCTTGGGCCTCTCTTGGGGCCTTTTTGGGCCATCTTGGAGCCACCTTGAGGCCTCGGAAGTCCATCGGAAGCGAACAGGCGAGAAAGCAAACAACATTGTTTTTTCCATCAGGTTTTGGGACGATGTTGGCCTCTTCGGGGCCTCCTTGGGGAGCTCTTTGGCCTCTTGGAGCCGTCTTGGGGCCGTCTTGGGGCCTCTTGGAACCATGTTAGGAACCATCTTGAGCGATCTTGCGCTATCTTGAGCCATCTTGGAGCTCATCTTGGGCTCTCTGACGCGTTCTTGAAGCCATCTTGGGGCCAAAAGAGCCGTCCGACCGCTCGCGAAACCCTCCGTCGAGGTCCAGGGGAGGGGGTAGGGGGAGGGGTAAACCCCTCCCCACGGGGGAAGAGGGAGGGGTGGACGAGGATCTGTTCTAGACCACCTACGCCCAGAGGGCTGGCGGGACTCCGTTCCCACCCCCTCTTTGCCCCCTCGCTCCTGCGCGCCTTCCTTGTCCAGCGTTCCCACCATATTCCCTCTCAGCAAGGGTGGCGCGCGTGAGCTGGCGTCCCACGTTCGGCCGTTGGGCTTCGTTCGGCAATCATGCGGGGTAGATTGCGCGAGGGACTATCCTGACCGGACAAGGTTTAACTGTTCTGATACAGTCATCGAGTAGATACGAGTGAAATAGGAGTTGAGATGGAGCGCGGTAGGTGTGGATTGGAGGTTGTCCGTGAGCCAGATTGACTGCAATTGGTCGCAGGATGAGGTGAAAGCCGGTTTCGAGCAGGGCGCAATCGGAGTCGGCGTAGACATGTCATATAGACACTATCCAGTTCTTTATATCAAAGAGGGGGCTTGCGTGTGCCGATGTAGCGGGGTAGAGTAGATAAAGGTACAAGTAGGCGTGTGATGGGCCAAAATATACGATTGGGGCTGCACGTGCACATCCGCATATTCATTTACAGTCGCAACAACGATAATACTTGTCCACTGGAGTGTTCGCGCGGATCGTGCGGAACCGAGTGTAGGGCGCGTTCAACCAGGGCGGAACGGTATGCCTACTTGCACACGCGTGCGCGTCTATATACGTATACTGTCATTTGCGCAGATCGGTGGGCCCAGTGCGCGCGTCGCGAAGCAGGGCCGGGAGCCTGCAGCGCGCCCCAGTCGTCGCTGGCGCCGTCGGGGCGTCCAGAGCACCGACAGGTGCCGTCGCGGGCGCAGCAGTTGTACCTGGTATTCCAAAAGCGAATGTCCGACATACCCCGTGCGTCAACAACGTACTCCGCGCGGGATGTCGCGCGCCCGCCGACCGCGCAAAATGTTCCGCTGGAGGATTTCAAACACACTGCGCGCGCAACATGCCCCAACAATACATCCCGCATATTTCAAATATTTACAACATACCCCCGCAGATTTCCAACATTGCAACATGCTCCAAAAATACCCCCGATGATTTCACGCGTTCAAGCAATATTCCCAACACGTTTAAAACGTATCCAGGAATATTGCGAAGGCGTTACGGCCGGTACCGCTGACCTGGCAGACGACGAAGATAAAAACGAGCGGGAAGGGGGGGGAGGAGGCGGATGATGATGCTGATGATGCTGATGATGATGATGATGATGCTGATGATGATGATGATGATGATGATGATGATGATGATGATGATGATGATGATGATGATGATGATGATGATGGGGTGGCGGAGGAGGAGGAGGAAGAGGAGGAGGAGGAGGAGGTGGTGGAGGAGGAGGAGGAGGGGAGGGGGGGGGAGGAGGAGGAGGAGGAGGAGGAGGAGGAGGAGGAGGAGGAGGCGGATGAGGAGGAAGGAGGCGGAGGAGGAGGGGAGGAGGAGGAGGAGGAGGAGGAGGGGGGGGTGGGGGGGGAGGAAGGGCGGAGGAGGCGGACGAGGGAGGAATGGGGGGGCAAGGATGAGGAGGAGGATGAGGAGGAAGAGGAGGGGTAGGAGGAGGAGGAGGAGGTGGAGGAGGAGGAGCAGGGGGAGGAGGAGCGGGGAGTAGCGAGAGGAATGGGAGAGGAGGAGGGAGGAGGAGGAGGAGGAGGAGGAGGAGGAGGAGGAGGCGGAGGCGGAGGAGGAGGAGGAGGACGAGGAGGAGGAAGAGGAGGAGAGGAGGAGGAGGAGGAGGAGGCGGAGGAGGAGGAGGAGGAGGCGGACGAGGAGGAGGAGGAGGAGCAGGAGGAGGACGAGCACGACGGCGAGGACGAGGACGAGGAGGAGGAGGAAGAAGAAGAAGAGGAGGAGGAAGAGGAGGGGTGGGGGAGCAGCGAGAGGCAGCGAGCAGGAGCAATCAATTCTGGAGGCCTCGGCTTTCGACGGAAATGGGAGGGAGAGAGCGGGGACAAAACCTTTCCGGAAATCTATGAATCTGGCCTGGCACGGCCTTCTTGAGAGTCCTTGTGGGGATCTTGTGACCCGTATGAGGGCCCCCTTTGGCCGTCCTTTGCCGTTCTTGGGCTGTCCTGTGGGGATTGGGTCGTCTAGGGGCGCTTTTGCAGATTCGTCGCGGAGACCCCCCCATCCTCCAGCGCATCTACAGGGGGTTGCAAACGGGGGATGGCATTTTGACTCGGGACCCTCCCCGGGACCCCCCCCTGGGACCCCCGTCTGGGACCCCCCCCCGACCCTCCCCCCCCTTCCCCAGCGGGGAATGGATCAAAGGGAAGGCCGTCGACTCAATGACAACGTTGTTAATTTTGTTTTGGCTGGGTTGCTTTAGTTCGCTTTGGCTGGCGCGCTTGAGGACGAGGGCCCAGGTTTAAGGAGGGGGGGAGCGGCGACGGACGGACCGAGAAAAGAAGACGACTACGTGCGAGGACAACAAACACGACGAACAACGCATTCCACACGCCCGCAGGGTCGGCAGATTCCGAAGACATTCCAGTGCCTTTGCGAAACTTCAAAATACACTGAAGTTACTCAAATGCCATCTGCGAAATTTCAAAATACTCTAGAAAGATGCTCGAGTGCCATCAGCGAGATTTCAAACAACTCCAAAGATATCACAATACAACTTGCGAATTTTAAAACACCCCACAGATGCACCAGTGCAATTTGCGAAATTGGGGAATATTCCAAAAACATTCCCCTGCCATTTAGGCAACCTCCAGATATGCCCCCACCGGCGACCTCTGAGGTTAAAAAAACCGCAGGAAACGCTCGCCGACCAATTGCGACACATCAAAACACCCCAGGACGCAGCGCGTTACCATCTTCGACAGTTCCAAGTTTTCAAGGAGATGCCGCCGCGTGTTTTCTGGAAAGTTTTACCTTGGGGCGGGACCCGTGGATGTTCCTCGAGAGCGCGAGAATTTCTTAGTAATGCCCCCTCTCCCCTCCTTTCGCCCGACATCGCGCCACTGCGGCATGTGATGCGGTGGGCTCGCTAGCGTATCACATGCCCTGCGTCAGGGTTGCCACGCGCGCGACGCGCATTGCTGATGCGGCGCCCGCACGGGCTGAACAGCGTGGCGTGACGTTGCCGAGCGCATGTCGTTCCGCGCCACAGAAACGTCGCGACCTCATTCCGCGTGCCCGAACCCGCTGGGGGAATGGCTCTCAACGCGCGTGCGCATCAAACATGCGATGCGTCCTACGCGCGGCACGCAGCTTCCAGACCGAAAAAGGCCGAGACTTTTGCATTCAGCTTTGGACCCAGTATTCCCGCTCACCCGCTCTCGATTTGATTGGTAAGCATTTGCTCTTTGGGACGGGGGCCAGGAGGGCGTGGGGGAGGGGGACCGGTCGACCGGTCGATCGGAAGATTGATCGATCGACCGATAAATACATTGCCGAGTTTGCAGCTTTCCGCCAGCCCCCGCGGACCCTTAATTTGTATGTTGCGACGCTTCTCCATATACGCGCGTTGCGATCAGCGATTGCCTTTGGATCCTCTACAATTTGGGATTGGCTGTTTTCTGGTGGCTCCCCTCGCGCGCCCTCAGGGCTGCGTCTGTCGCTTGTCTTCGAAGTGAGCCCAGTGGCAACGAACCGCGTGGAGTCGGCTGAGCGCGCGGCAGGGTCGGTTCGCTTTCGCGCGAACTCGACGCCATTAAATGTGTAATTATCGAGTTTCTTGTGTAGCGAAATGGATGCGGTCGTAGTTCACGCGGCGTTGAATAGGTGCCCCTTTTGTCTGGCGCGCAGGGCGCTGTGTATTATGCGCGCGCCGAATCACGCAAGGGAAAAATCCCGACAATGCTATCCCCCAGCAGGGATTGCGGTTTTCCCTATGTTCCCTACCTAGGCTCTGCCTAGAAGGGTTCTTACTCTCTTAGCTTACAGGGGCCGGGCAGTGTAACACGCCCCGGGCGGTTCCCCCAGTCCCCTGTGAGCGGTTCCCCCCAGTCCCCTGGGAGCTTTAGCTTTAGCTTTAGCTTTAGCTTAGCTGTAGCTTAGCGTTTCGCTTAGCTTTTCGCTTAGCGTTTAGCTTTAGCTTAGCTTTAGCTTAGATTTAGCTTAGCTTTAGCTTAGTTGTAGCTTAGCTGTAGCTTAGCTGTAGCTTAGCTTTAGCTTAACGTTAGCTTAGCTTCAGCTTAGCTTTAGCTTAGATTTAGCTTAGCTGTAGCTTAGCTTTAGCTTAGCATTACCTCAGCTTTAGCCCAGTTTTAGCTTAGCTTTAGCTTAGCTGTAGCTTAGCTTTAGCTTAGCTTTAGCTTAGTTTTAGCTTAGCTGTGGCTTAGCTTTAGCTTAGCTTTAGCTTAGCTTTAGCTTAGCTTTAACTTAGCATTACTGTTACTACTACTGCTGCTTCCCTAGGGGTTCCAACTCCTAGGTAGGGTCGCACTGGGATAATGTTTGAGTATTCCCCAAGTTTTGTTTGTTAAACGTGGTTGCATAACGAAACAAATCTAACCTGACAACTTGTTATATGTTTTTCCCTGCTTGGTTCCTCCATCGAAGAAGAAGAAGAAGGCAAAACGGCATGAACATAAACTTTTGGCGGTCCGTGTGGATGTTTGGGATCGGCGTCGGGCCCTCCGCGACTGGTGTCTGGCCAGTGAGTGCGCGGCTGCAGTGGAAGCAGGGGGAACGGCTAAGAGAGGAAGCTTTTGCCGGAGAAGAAACAACGCCATAAAGATAAGTTGTCAGAACTCCGCGCGGATTCCCTAGATCCGCGCTGGGCCCCCCCTAGCGTCGTTTCTGGCGCCCCCCCTGGCGCGCTCCGCGCGCCAGGGACGGGGTCCAGCGCAGATACAAGAAATCCCCGCGGAGCGCCAACAGTTTATATTCATGCAGTTTTTCTCCTTCTTCTGCTCCACCCGTCGGGGGGGGGGGTGAAGACCAGGGGGTTCAGTAGCCAATCGCGGGTGCCTTGTGTACCCTCGTAAGTATGTCTCTCGCGTCGGTTAACGCCGAGTATCATTTGGGCATCGATGAAATAGCGCCGATTTGGCTTCGGCTAGCGTCGCTGTAGCGTCGACTAGCGTCGATTTAGCTCCGACGAGCGTCGACTAGCGTCGATAAGCGTCGCTCCGTAAGAGCCTACAAGATGGTATGAGAAGTTCTCATGTTGCCACCGAAGGGGGGATCATGACAGCGGCCATGATATCATGCGGATCTCGTGAACCCTCGCTTTCTTGCAGCACGTCTCCTGGCCCCCCCCACTTTTTGGGGCCGCGGACATGTCTCGGGCCGTAAGTGTGGAACCCCGCACGGGAGCGGGGCCCATCGTTGATCCCTTCCTCCTCCCTCCTCCTCCTCCTCCTCCTCCTCCTCCTCCTCCTCCTCCTCCTCCTCCTCCTCCTCCTCCTCCTCCTCCTCCTCCTCTTCCTCGTCCCTCTCCTCCTCCGCCTCCTCCTCCTCTTCCTCGTCCTCTTTTCTCCTCCTCCTCCGCCTCCTCTTCCTCCTCCTCCTCCTCCATCGCGTGACGTTGTCCCTCCGCCGCCCCCCCCGGGTGTTCAGTCGGGCTTGTTCCCCTACAGGAGGGATATTCAAAATTCGCCAAAACATAATTATCCCAGTGCGACCCTACCTAGGAGTTGGAGCCCCTAGGAAAGCAGCATCAGTAGTAACAGTAAAGCTAAGCTAAAGCTAAGCTAAAGCTAAGCTACAGCTAAGCTAAAGCTAAGCTAAAGCTAAGCTAAAGCTAAGCTAAAGCTAAGCTAACGCTAAGCTAAAGCTAAGCTAACGTTAAGCTAAAGCTAAGCTAAAGCTAAAGCTAAAGCTCCCAGGGGACTGGGGGAACCGCTCCCAGGGGACTGGGGGAACCGCCCGGGGCGGGCAACACTGCCCGGCCCTTTTAAGATAGAGAGTAAGAACCCTTCTAGGCAGAGCCTAGGCAGGGAAAAATTGGAGACGATGATTTGACCATTCGTCGCAATTTCGGAGCATGTTTTGACAATGTCCTTCCTTTCCTCGAAGATCCGCCCGTAGGGAGTCACGCCCGACCTAACCCGAGCGCCCAGGGGAGCTACGCTGCAATTCCTGAGAGGTGGCATTCTGCCTCGGTGCCCGGCACATCAAGGGCGCCCTCGAGGGCGCGACGTTACTCGCGCTTCGCGGTTCGGCTCCGATTTCTCCTCCTCCTCCTCTTCCCCCCCGGGAGGCGGCGCGAGAGCGCGAAGGTATTCGCACTTCGCGCTTCGAGAAGCGCGAAGCGCGAAGTTGGGAGCCCTTGTGAGTGGTGGCACTCTGCCTCGGTGCCCAGCACATGCCTCTGGCCGAAGCCCGGCCCGACATCCTTCTCGATATAGCCCGCCCGAAGCGGCCGGCGGTGTGGCCCTTCCACTGGGCCTGTCATTAAGTCGGGCCTGTCCCTCTACAGTCTACAGGGAGAATATTCAAAAATAGTAAAACCAATTATTTCAGTGCGACCCTACCTAGGAGTTGGAGCCCCTAGGAAAGCAGCATCAGTAGTAACAGTAAAGCTAAGCTAAAGCTAAGCTAAAACTAAGCTACAGCTAAGCTAAAGCTAAGCTGAAGCTAAGCTAAGCTAAGCTAAAGCTAAGCTAAAGCTAAGCTGAAGCTAAGCTGAAGCTAAGCTAATGCTATGCTAAAGCTAAACTAAAGCAAAGCTAAAGCTAAAGCTAAAGCTAAGCTAAAGCTAAGCTGAAGCTAAGCTAAAGCTAAGCTAAGGCTAAGCTAAAACTAAGCTGAAGCTAAGCTAAAGCTAAGCTGAAGCGAAGCTAAAGCTAAGCTAAATCAAAGCTAAAGCTAAGCTAAAGCTAAGCTAAAGCTAATCTAAAGCTAAACTAAAGCCAAGCTAACACTAAGCTAAAGCTAAGCTAACACTAAGCTGAGGCTAAGATAAAGCTAAGCTAACGTTCAACTAAAGCTAAGCTAACACTAAGCTGAAGCTAAGCTAAAGCTAAGCTAAAGCTAAGCTAAAGCTAGGCTAAAAGCTAAGCTAAGGCTAAGCTAACACTAAGCTAAATCGAAGCTAAAGCTAAGCTGAAGCTAAGCTAAAGCGAAGCTAAAGCTAAGCTAACGTTAAGCCAAAGCTAAGCTAAATCTAAAGCTAAAGCTAAGCTAACGCTAAGCTAAAGCTAAGCTACAGCTAAGCTACAGCTAAGCTGAAGCTAAGCTACAGCTAAGCTAAAGCTAAGCTAAGGCTAAGCTAAAGCTAAGCTAAAACTAAGCTGAAGCTAAGCTGAAGCTAAGCTGAAGCTAAGCTAACGCTAACGTAAAGCTAAGCTAGAGCTAAGCTAAAGCTAAGCTAAAGCTAAGCTAAAGCTAAAGCTAACGCTAAGCTAAAGCTACGCTAAAGCTAAGCTAAATCTAAGCTAAAGCTAAGCTAAATCTAAGCTAAGGCTAAGCTAAAGCTAAGCTGAAGCTAAGCTAAAGCTAAGCTGAAGCTAAGCTAAAGCTAAGCTAAACCTAAGCTAAAGCTAAGCTAACACTAAGCTAAAGCTAAGCTAACACTAAGCTGAAGCTAAGCTAAAGTTAAGCTAAATCTAAGCTATCACTAAGCTGAAGCTAAGCTGAAGCCAAGCTAAAGCTAAGCTAAGGCTAAGCTAAAGCTAAGCTGAAGCTAAGCTAAAGCTAAGCTGAAGCTAAACTAACACTAAGCTAAAGCTAAAGACAAAGCTAAAGCTAAAGCTGAGCTAAAGCTAAAGCTAAGGCTAAAGCTTCCAGGGGACTGGGGGAACCGCTGGGCGGGGACTGGGGGAACCGCCCGGGGCGGTTTCCATTGCCCAGCCCCTTTAGCTAACAGAGTAAGAACCCTTCTAGGCAGAGCCTAGGTAGGGAAATAGTCGGGGGACGATGTTTTTGTTTACCACTTGGGGGTATTTTTTGATGTTTTCATTTTTCGTCGAGAATCCCCCTGTAGGAGGACAGGCCCGACTTAAGCTTGCCAGTTGCGGACAGCTTTGGCAAGCAATTCCGCCGGACAGCAATCTATGCACTGAATGAGACGGGGAACGAAGAATCACACAAAAGTAAAGACTCAGAGGTCCGCGCGGATTTCTCGGATCCGCGCTGGACCCCCCTGGCGGCGCCTCTGGCGCCGCCCCTGGCACGATCCGCGCGCCAGGGAGGGGGGTCCAGCGCCGATCCCAGACATCTGCGCGGACCTCCACGTTTTTGTGCTCACGTCAGTCTTCGTTCCCCTTACTGGGGGAGCGCCACGCACGCAGGCATGGACAGGACAATCTGATGGAGAGAGTCGGCGCTGAATCCGAATCTTCCTGCTCCACCTCCTCCTCCTCCTCCACCTCCTCCTCCACCTCCTCCTCCTCCTCCTCTTCCTGCGCAGCCAGCTCTGCCCCACCTCCTCCTCCAGCCCGCGCTGAATCCGAACCTTCCTGCGGGCGCCGAGGCGCCGCCGCCAAGCCTGAAGTCGGGCTTCTCTCTCTACAGGAGGAATGTTTTAAAATAGTCAAAAAAAATCGCATTTTGTGCATATTTGTTGTGTATATTTTTTTGTGCATATTTTTGTGCATATTTTGGGGACGATTTTTTTGTATCTTTGTATATTTTGGTGTATCGTCCAAAATCCCCCCTGTAGGGGGACAGGCCCGACCTAAGCCCAGCTCCTTGTGGGGCCGTCACGTGGGACGAGCAGGCGCCGTGGCCGTGTCCGCGTGTCCGTGCCAGCCGGGCTTACCTTCCGGCCCTCCATCGCTCGGACCAGGACCGTCCAAGGCCTGTGCATCCTGACCGCGCATCCTCGTGACACGAGCTGGCTGTGCCAGCCCTCCATCGCTCTGGCCAGGACCTCCCCCCGGGAGTGTTTTTGTTCTTAGAACAGGTTTGGGTTCTGAGAACATTCCGTGGTGGGCCTATGGGAATGTTGGGACGGTCGGCCCCTGCTCAAAAGATGGGCGAAGGCTTGCACCCTTACCGCGCACCCTCGTGATGACGAGCCAACAACACACACCCATACTCATAGGGGGGTCGGAGAGGGCTATGGGTACGTGTTGTCGGATGGGGGCATCCGCTCGAACGGGAGCGTTCCCCAGGGTCCGACAACCCGCACGCATACCCATAGCGAGCCCTCCTCCCAACGACCGCCCTTATGGGCACGGGTGCGTGTTGTTCGTTCGTCACGTGACGCGGGCTGGCCGTGCACAGCACCCCACCGCTCTGGCCAGGGCCTCCCCCCAGGGGTGGCCTCTCCCCACCCCATAGCCGCGCGCCGGCCGTCGCCGGGCGGAGCCGCCCGCCCGCCCGCCCCTCCGAGCGCCTCCGGGGGGCGGGAGGGGGAGGAGGAGGCGGAGGAGGAGGAGGAGGAGGAGGAGGAGGAGGCGGAGGAGGAGGAGGAGGAGGAGGAGGAAGCGGAGGCGGAGGAGGCGGAGGAGGAGGAGGAGGCGTTGTCGGGAGGCTGCCTGGAGGCACCCCCGTTCCCCAGGAGGCGCGGGCCTCGTCTGCACGGCGAGGATGGGCAGGCCTCCCAGGGGGTGCCCTGGCAGCTTTGCCTCCTCGGTGCAGCCTCGGCCACCTTCGCAAGCCACGCCCCCCTCGGGAAGCTCCGGGATGGGCGTCCAGGGCCCTTGCATCCTCACCGCGCATAGGTCAGCATCGTTAAGCCGATCCCCGTCCGCAAATCGGCCGGCGGGGCCCGGGCCACGCCGCTGGGAATGGGGATCGGTTGAACGATACTCAGTAGGGGGAGAGGGGGACGTCAGGACGGGAACAAAAACACACGCACACGTCACGGTGAGTCGCCGACCCCCAGGAAAAGATACCGGAAAAGTAAGGGAAGGGGAGGGGGGAGACGCAGATCCAGAAAATGTGCAAAAAGATGGCAGGTCTTGGGATTTGTGTCTATTGCGAAGGCCTTACGGCCAGTGCCGCCGACCCTGAGAACGACGAAGATGAAAACGAGGGGTGGCCAGGGGTAGGAGGATGAGTGGGAGGTGGAGGAAGGGCTTGGGAGGTGGATGAGAGAGGAGGAGGGAAGAGAAGGATGTGGAGGAGAAGCAAGAGGAGGAGAAGGAGGCAGAGGAGAGCAGGAGGAGGGGGAGCAGAGGGGGGGGAGGAGGAGGAGGAGGAGGAGGAGGAGGAGGAGGAGGAGGAGGAGGAATAATAATAATAATGATAATGATAATGATAATAATAAGAAGAATAATACTAAGAATAAGAAAAATAATAATAAGAAGAAAAATAAGAATAATACGAACCATAATAAGAATACGAATAATAATAATAATTATTATTATTATTATCCCAGTGCGACCCTACCTAGGAGTTGGAACCCCTAGGAAAGCAGCATTAGTAGTAACAGTAACGCTAAGCTAAAGCTAAGCTAAAGCTAAGCTAAAGCTAAGCTAAAGCTAAGCCACAGCTAAGCTAAAGCTAAGCTAAAGCTAAGCTAAAGCTAAACTAAAGCTGAGCAACACCTAAGCTAAAGCTAAGCTACAGCTAAGCTAAAGCTAAGCTAAAGCTAAGCTAAAGCTAAGCTAAAGCTAAGCTAAAGCTAAACTAAAGCTAAGCTAAAGATAAGCTAAAGCTAAGCTACAGCTAAGCTCAAGCTAAGCTCAATCTAAGCTAAAGCTAAGCTAAAGCTAAGCTAAACGCTAAGCGAAAAGCTAAGCGAAACGCTAAGCTAAAGCTAAGCTACAGCTAAGCTAAAGCTAAGCTAAAGCTAAAGCTAAAGCTAAAGCTCCCAGGGGACTGGGGGGAACCGCGGGGCGGGGACTGGGGGAACCGCCCAGGGCGCTTTACACTGCCCGGCCCCTTTAAGCTAAGAGAGTAAAAACCCTTCTAGGCAGAGCCTAGGTAGGGAATACTAAGAATAATAATAAGAATAATAATAAGAAGAATCATAATAATAATAATGATGACAATAATAATAATAATGATAATAATAATAATAAGAATACTACTAATAATAATAATAAGAATAATAATAATAAGAAGAATAATAATAAGAAGAATACTAAGAACAATAATAAGACTAATAAGAATAATAAGAAGACGAGGAGGAGGAGGAGGAGGCCAGAGGCTTTCTTGGGACAGCCTGGGGCTCTCTTGAGGCGTCCAGGGCTCCTATTGCGCCGTCTCGAGGCACTCTTGGAGGCTTCCTGGGCAATTTGGGGCTCTCCTGGGCTGTCTTGGGGCATTCTTGGGGGCGCCTTGGGCCGTCTTGGAGGCGTCTTGGGCCGTCTTGGGGCCCTCTTCGGCCGTTAGGGCCGTTAGGGGACATTCTTGGGGGCCTCTTGGGCCGTCTCGGGGCGATCTTGGGGGCCTCTTGGCCCGTCTTGGCGCGTCGGGAAGCGGAAGAGGCAAGAACGCCCAATTCTTTTAAAAACGTCTGGGGGAATCCATGAATTTTGCCTCTTGGGGCTCTCGTGGGAAAGCTCCTGGAGGCCTCTTGGGGCGCTTTGCAGGCCTCTTGGGCCGTCTGGAGGCCGTCAAGGCGTCTTGCAATCGTTCGGCGATTCGGGGTTCTCTTGGACTGTCTTTGGGGCCTCTTGGGGCACTCTTGGCCCGTCTTGGGGCCTTTTTGGGCTCCGGGACTCCCTGGGGGGGCGTCGTATCTGGACCCCCCCCCCAGACCCCCCCCGGGGACCCCCCCCTGGCGGGGAAGGGATCGAAGGGAAGGGGCTTCCCTTCGACTCCACTGCGACGTTGCTCAACTTCGCTTTGGTTGGCGCGCTGAGGAGGTCCCTGGAAAAGGGGGGAGCTTCGACGAGCCCAGGGAAATGGGGAGGCAGGGAAAGGGGACGACAGAGACGACGACCTACGAATGACGGAGATGACGACTTGAACGGACAAGCCCCTCACACACGCCGACAGGGTCGGCAGATTTCTTTGTGTGTGTGTGTGTGTCCTTGGGCCCCTTCGGGAAGGCCTCCTAGAAGCACCCCCGCTCTTGAGGAGGCGCGGACCCTGTCTGTAGACGTGAGGCCCGCGCCTTCCGAGAGGCAGCCTCCTTCCGAGAGGCCTCCCTTCCCCCTCCTCCTCCCTCCTCCTCCTCCTCCTCCCCCCCCCTCCTCCCCCTCCTCCCCCCTCCCCCTCCCCCTCCCCCCCCCTCCTCCCCTCCCTCCTCCTCCTCCTCCTCCTCCTCCTCCTCCTCCTCCTCCTCCTCCTCCTCCTCCTCCTCCTCCTCCTCCTCCTCCTCCTCCTCCTCCCCCCTCTGCGCGCCGCCAAGGGGGGGGGCCTGCCGGCGCGCGAGGAGCCGCCCGCGAAGCCCGCGCTGCCCCCCCGGCAAGCCTCGAAGACGCCGCCGACGGGGAGGCGCCCGTCGAAGCCGTCGGAGGAGCGGCCGCCCGCCTCTGAGGAGGGCCTCGAGGAAGATGGGACTTGCGTTGATCAGCGAGCGCAGAACGGTATAAGATAAACTTTTTCGTTGTCGGGGGCGCCTGTCCCAGGGCGGCTGGAAAGTTTATACCCCTACAGTGCCACCGGAAGGGTATAAACTTTCCAGCCGCCCAGGGACAGGCGCCCCTGTCAGCGAAAAAGTTGATTTTATACCGTTCTTCGCCCGTGAAGTTGACTTGGCACGCTCGGTGCGGTCGGACGGAGGTACAGGATCGAGGTCGGTTCGGGGAGGCTACCCCTTAGTGGGCCCTGGAAACGACAGGGCCGTTTTTTTACCGGTTCCGTTTTGCCGTTTTTTACCGGTTCCGGCGCCGTTTTTTTACCGGTTCCGTCACCGTTTTTTGACCGGTTCCGGCTCGGGTTCCAATCTTGGAGCCGTTTTTTGGCCGTGTCCGGTCGCCGTTTTTTGCCGTTTTCATTTTCAAGGGACATTTTTGGGGAAATTGAAAAAACGGCCCTGCCGTTTCCGGGGCCCACAAAGGACTTGCGTTGACTCGGCACGCTCGGTGGAGGGCACCCTTGAAGCTTCCTCTGCTTGGGCCAGCAGAGGGTCTCATGCTCATGTTCTTGGAGAGTGTTCATCTCTCCCAGGTCCGACTGCAGCAGCCCATGGGGGCCTCGCGTGTCCTCGGGGTTCCGCGTGTAGGGTGCTCGTCGACCCGCAAGAGCCAGCAAGATGGCACGGGAGGCTCCCACGAGTGGCCACAGAGCATGCCATGAGCATCGTGGATCACACTGCGAGAAGTAAGCGCGCGAAATCGAAGAGGGATGGACGTCCGAGCGATGGCGAGTCTGGGGGAGGGCCTCGAAGCCAAAACGAACTTGCATAGAGGCTTCTGGTAGGCAGGGTTGGCGGCGTCCACGTTCCCCGTCGTGCCTCCGAGTGCTGCGCAATCCTTGCAGTTGTGGACCTTGGT